CAAATCCTATTATATGTTTATTCATCATAAAATAATGTTTAAATTAAAATTGTAAACGTGACGTTTACGAAATAAGTTAATTGAACAAGCATATTGTTGTTCTAAAGAAAACGCTTGAGGTCAAATTTAGGTCAATCTTTAAGCATAAGAATTTTGCCGAGCAAGAAGGGCATTTTGACCGGGGGTCAAGAACCACGGTAAACTTTACACAGTACGAAAAGGTAAAGTTTTAGTCTCCCTTCTATGATAAGATGACTTTCATGAGTATAAACCCATTCGTATGTCGATACGATAGATCCCAGTGAGATTAAAATAAAAAAAATACAGCAGAGTTTGTTTCGTTGATATTTTAGTTGAAAACACGTTATAAAGTGGTAATAGAACATTTTCTCTTATGATAACGTGATGACTTTAAATTTTGAGAGTTAACTCTTTTTAATTATGATGAGCAATGGTGCCCATCATCAAAATTGTGAATTTCTCAGTTGATTCGATACAAGAGAACTCTGGTATAAAACATTTATTAAAAGAGGTTAATTGTTGATAAACAAGTTGTTAACAAGAATGTCAGCAGTCTTATTTAAAGTCACCATTTCGGTTCTAGTGTTGATTCAATGACTTTGTCAAGAAATGCAATTCACCATCAAATTATATGCTTTGCCATGGAGGAATGTGAAATTTTTTCACAACCTTTTTATTATAACTCCCCCGCATGATCGGAAAAGCGGGAGGGAAAATCCGTCGACAATTCAGTGTGTAAAGCAAACACGATCAAAGTCCGATTGAAATAATATAAATTGTCCGTCAAACACCTCTAAAACATTACGGTAGGATCAGGTACCAGGAATCTAAAAACACTGTCTAAAATGAATGCATAGAGTTTGTCTTATTTAATAAGCTTACCAAAAGGGAGTTGGGGATTTGGGAATCTGAACGGTTCCCGTCACAATTAGCTTTATTACATATTGCCATTGTGCACCTCCTATTTTACTTTTTGATCCGACACATATTTTGGGTTTCCTGGCCACAACAAAACATGTATACTTTGGCATTATAACCATATTGGAGGCGGCGGATATAATTTAGTGAGCTCATTGCTCACAATACCTCTAGTTTCCTTATTAGATTGTTTCGTAAAGATATATGTGGGAAAGGTGTAAGAACTGATAAATTTTTTATTAAAACTTTTCTAAAAGAATGTGGTCGTTCTACAACAAAAAAGTGAAAATTTATAAAATTTAAGGTATGGTACATAATGTTACATGGTGTGTTCTATATAATAAAGGGTTTAATATAATAAAGGGTCACCAATCCTTGTTAAAAGGGTGAAGCGCAGATAATACATGGTGCGTTCAATATAATATGGGTCGGTTTTCGTCCGGTCACCACTCCTTGTTATACGGTGAAAGAAACAGTATAAATGGTGTGTTTAATATAATAAAGGGTTAGTTTAATGTGTAATATGGTCACCACTCCTTGTTAGTGAAATTATAAATGGTGCTTTCACAGAATAAAGTCTTTAATATATTAAATGGTTGCTACCTTTTATAGGGTTATACATAATAAATGGTGCATTCCGAATATAATAACGGGTCGGTTGGGTTAAATGGTCGCCGCTTCTTGTTATGGGGAGAAGTATACAAATTAAATGGTGCGTTCGATATAATAACGGGTTGGTTTAATATGTTAAATGGTGGCCGCTACTTGTTGTAGGGTGAAATATACAAATTGAATGGTGCATTCGATATAATAAAAGGTCGGTTTAATATGTTAAATGGTCACCGCTACTTGTTTTAGAGTCAATGGTAGATAAATGGTGTGTTCTACAAAGTAAATGGTTTGTTTACCATGTTAAATGGTTACTGCTACTTGTTATAGGATAAAAGGCACATAATAAATAAATAGCACATTAAAAAATGCGTCAAGTACAATTATCATTGTGCAGCTAATTTTACATGGTTTCAAAAAACGCAATTAAATGTTAGCTATGATAAATTAATTAACTGGTGTAAGAGAGGGATCTCAATGGTACAGTTTCCTTTAGTATTCTTATTCAAATCCGTAATTGTTTTTTTTTTCAATTTGATTCATATACGTATTTTATTAATTTAGTATCCAGTTCTAACCTCTTGTTAAAATACTAATTCATTTTTCGTAAAAATGTAAAATAAAAAAAAGATTTTAAAAAAGAAGAAGAAAGAAATCAGAGAGAGAGAGAGAGAGAGAGAGAGAGAGAGAGAGAGAGAGAGAGAGAGAGAGAGAGTCTCAATATCTATCGTCCAGCAAAAAAATGTATGAAATTATTTTTGTCATATTATGCATAAAATTTTGCGTTATCATGTCTATACAATAAAATTCAATCATTCTATCATAAAACCAATGCCAAATCCTAATAAATAATTTATTAGTTTGAAATTGTTTTAAAGCAAGTTGAGACTTTTTATCATTTCGTAGAAATCCTCGATCAAATAGAATATGACTTAAAAAACTGATGTACAATATTTTCCCCTATTAACATTTAATAATAACATTCCAGGAGTACCATTACGGAAATTAATTTTTTTGAGAGACAACTGTTTTTCTATAATTCATTTTGATATTACGAAAATGTAATGGTCTAAGTAGCAGACTCGCAACTACAATCGACGGTCACTTTCAGGTAAGTTTCAGCTATTTGTAAAATCTGCATCCTAAGCGTACAATTTAAAACAAAATCGTTACGGAAGTGCATCGTTACGGAAGTTTGAATGATTCAGTGATTTTTAGCGAGAATTCTGGAATACATTTTTGAACATAATAAAGTGGTCATATCAAAACTTAACTGCATATATATCAATTGATATCTACAAAACTATGTGTCTATTTTTTTAAGTTTAAGAGTTGAAATCTTTAAAATTATAGTTTTTCAGTTAGAGGTAATTACAAAGGCAAATCTGTAAACGACTAAAAAAATCTTAATTGGTCATGTTTTTGTAGAATGACTGATCAATCAAAGAAAGCATTTTATTGTTTAAATTAAAAACACTCATAAAATCTAGAATTGATGACTTTTTTATGAATTAAATTTTAGAATTAAAAGAGGAGCCGACCCAAGTTTAGACCGACTCTGTTATGGTATGACTTTCTCTAGTACCCATCAATATTCTAAGTTTTAAAATTGCAATAGGTACTTTTCCGGATTGCGCAATATTAACAATAACTAGGAAACGTTCAATATAATGAAATGAAGAGTTCATGCTCAAGGTAGGCATGTTTTTAATAATTTAACACATTTTAAAACACCTTTTTGTATTCTCAAAAGGAAATGGAATCGTAAAAATTTGCCTTAAGCTGAATAACAAAATCCTTAACGTTATCTGAGATAGGCCCCTATTTATTTATGATGATATTTTTAGGAATTGCATCATTGACACTACACCGTATGTTTATATTTTCATTTCAATTAGAAATACTAGCATTGAATTGTTTTGCCATCAGGTAAGGTATTGTTTTGTTTTCAGATCTTAATAGTTGTTCATATTTTGATAAATTGTGATCGAGGTGTTGTTCTCGCATTATTTTCTTTATTCTCTTTTAGGAAGTGGACTTTTGCCTAAAACTGTCCACTTATAAATAGTGTGATGTAGGCAGAGATCTATAGTTTAGTATAATATAGGTCCCTCGTTTAGGCAAAAGCCTGTCCAATTCTCTAAAGAGAATAGAGGTGTTTATATTCTCTACTGAGAAGCTGATCGCTAATTTTAATACTCCCCTGTGATAGATTCTCAATAGAGAATAAGGTGTATACTGCATCAATCCCTTATGTCAGGAAGCCAGGATGATAGGTACACCAAGTTAAAAATTTAATTCTGTAAGAGAGGTCTCAAGAAAACTAGGCCCAATAAGGATGTAGTCATTTAATAAGCATAGGTTTTTAAGAGAAAAAGGACCATCTCTTTTAGATGGATTTACTTAGAGAGACCCTGAACTGCTAGAGTGTATTGAAATATGAAAGGTATATCCTAAAGTCTCAGAGAACTTTTAAAAACTTTAAGGAGAAGCAGGTAATTAACTAATTTTAAAAAAAAGAGAGCCCTTGAAATGATAAAAAAATAAATGAGAGATATAATTCTTTAGATTTGTGACCATGAAAGAGATAATTTTTAACTTAAGAGATATTCTTTTAAAGAGATATCTCTTTTCCAGGAAAATAAAGATAATAAATTTCCTATCCATAGTATTCTTGATATTTATAATCAGGAAGTAGAGTCTGTGGAATGTTTGACTGTATTTATAATCTATAAAGATAACTCTGAATTTAACCCTAATTTATTTTGTCATTTGGTGAATATAACTTTTGTAGTATTTTGGACTACTCTTGTTAATTGATATCTTTTGAAATACATGTACATGTATATTATTATAGATTTTGATCAGGCCCTAGGATCATAAAACAGACTGAGACTTAAGTCAAATTTTCAGCTTATAAAATAATTATTAATTATTGAATTGATCTAAAAATTTGAAACATTACAACATTTTTATAAAGAAAATTAAAACACATTTTCAAAACACTTTAATGTACTTCCGTGAATAAAAAGCTTACTTCCGGTAAAGGGAGAAGTCATAAATTCAATTTTACAAAAAATAATGAAGAATGATATCTCTTTGCAATTGGAAATATTTCTTTTTTATAATGTGAGACATCTCTTTGGACTACCTATAATACCTCTTTAACTTTGAGAGATATCTCTTAAAATAAACCAAGAGAGATATATCTTTTACTTTGAGAGATATCTCTTTAATTTGGAAAGATATCTCCCTTTAGTAAAAGAGATAACTCTTTAGATGAAACAGATATCTCTTTACCCCAGAGACACATCTTTTCACAAAGAAATCTCTACAAGTTGAAGGTGAATATCTGTTTAGTGGGAGAAATGGACACACACATTGACCCAAACAATGTAGATATCTCACTGAGTGAAAGAGATATCGTTCTAAGTATGAGATATCTTTACACATAGCAAGCTTTGGAAGATGAAGGATGAGATCCCAGAAGGAGATGTATTACTGCATGCTGGTGATTTCACCAATGTAGGTTGGCCAGGAGAAGTCAAAGAACTAAACGACATTTTAGGTATGTCCTGGATGCATATCATTCACAGTTTTTTTTTAACATGTTCAGGCAAGTTTCTTTATTTTTATGCTAAAATTTAAATCTGTTACTAATGACAGAATATCAGAATCTTTGAAATATTATCTCTTAATAGGAAATTAAGCCATGTACAGGATATAGTGAACACATTTAAAAAAAAAAAAAATCTGTCCTTGTCATTTTTTTTCAAATCTTGAAAATGAAACAAATTAAGAAATTTGAAAGTATATAACCAGGTTATTCATTTTTATTTAAACATTTCGCTATTTTTCAGGACAGCTACCTCACAAACACAAAATAGTTATAGCCGGAAATCATGATTTAACTTTTGATGATGAGATGCTGCAGAATGATCCAGAGGCCTTTGAAAAGTTTGGCCTCAATTTGGAAAAGGTCAAAACTGATTTGACCTCAGTAGGGGTCAACAGTGCCAAAGAACTCCTGACAAACTGTCTGTATCTGGAGGATGCTTGTGTTGAATTGTATGGCATCAAGATCCATGGATCTCCATGGTTAGTAGCTCTTCTGAATGTTTGTTGCAATGAGAGGAAGATAAATAAGATTTAATGCATTATCATGACTATATCTTAGACATCTAATATTTAGAACATTAATTAAGGTTTCTCTGCAAAACGATGCCAATAATTTCCCCCCCAAAAAAAAAAAGTTAAGCTCTTATTTATGTATGTGTGTACATGTAGGCAGCCAGAGTTCTGTGATTGGGGTTTCAATTTACCCAGAGGCCAGCCATGTTTATCAAAGTGGGACCTTATACCGTGTGACACAGACATTCTGATAACACATGGACCACCTTTAGGTATAGTTTTAAATTTTGCATATCATTTAAGGTATCCAATCCATAATAGCCTCAGATTCAATGAATCTGAATGCATAACATATATATATATTGGCTGAATTAATACTCGGTACATGTATATGTAGACATAATCTTCAAGTTGTAGTCTCAATATGTAAGAGCGGAACGTGTCCTAATTTGTTACCTTGACCCGTCCTTGAAGAGTTTTGCCCCTTTGCTTTTCATCAATAAAATTCATTTTAAAACAAGGTTCTTTCTTACATGGTTCAAATGTTATGGCGAAGGTTAAAGTTTGCAGAAAAAAGCTTTTTTTAGCATATAGGTCATAGTCAAGGTCACAAGGTCATTGACCTTGGTGTCGTTTGAAAGAGCTAAATTAGTGGAGTATGCATACTAGCTGCAGATCTGTAGCGTTATGGTTTTATATATTTGTCTTTGACCATAACGCTACAGATGCCGTAGTGTGAAAAAGGTGCAATTTACAGCGCAATATTTTTTGCGTTCTTTTGGGGAGAATTTCTCCACTTCCTAGCTTTGGTCAATCAACTACCTTTCACATTCTAGACACATTCTGCGGCCAATATCATTATGTATAGTTTATCTACCTCCCAACTATTTATAGTTGTCTCTACAGGCAATAAACTCGCTGGATATGAATTTTCAGTAATCTAACAAATAATTTTAATCAAGCAAGTTTATCACTTGTAGAGACGACTATAAAGGGTTGGAAGATGGATAAAATATATAGATTAGTTAAATAATGTGTCTAGAATTAGGGGTTGAAATGTAGTTGATTGAACGATGCTGGAAAGTGGAGAAAATCTCCAGAAGTGCGCAAAAAATATTGGACCGTAAATTGCACCTTTTTTGCATTACAGGATCTGTAGCTTTATGGTCAAAGACTAATATATAAAACCATAACGCTATACAGATCTGCAGCTAGTGACCATGTGACCCATTGGCCTCCATCTTATACGTATTTCATATTTTTAATTCATTACCAGCCGGAAATTAAACAACAGAATTAAATTAATGATGTAAATCAGGTTTGATAAAGGGGGGGGGGGTTATAAATTTTTGGCACATAATTGGAACTTTTTAAATCTATTTTCTCATATAGGTTAACAACAAATAATATTATTCAAATTAGTGTAAAGCGTTTTTGATGAATTTTTCAAACTGTGCAAAGTTTATTTATATTTGATTAGGCAGAAACTTCTTGAAAGCTGCCATATACACAATCAATTTAGTCAACCCCCACCCCTCTCCCATCAACACACACACACAAACACACCTTATTTGCCTGTTTTTGGAAATTGGCCTAGATGGCCAAGTTAAAATAAAACATCTTTTGTAAATGATAATTTTCAATTTGTTCTTGCACTATACATGTATCTGAACACCTGCATCACATTGGGCTTGCGTCACGTACCCAACTTAAGTACTAGTTTTACCATGATTGGCATTATCATTTTAGATTTCACTGCCGTGTAATTATGTGGCGGTCGCCACTTATTATTTGGCGGCCGCCACTTATATATCAGCTACTAATATATAGTGTGCATCATTGCGGCCGCCATATATGTCAGTAGCCCGAATTATTTTATTTTGTGTTATTAACTGGATTATATTTCATGAAGATGACAGTGCCTATAATAATGACAATCGGCGGCCGCCAATAACACTTGTTTTGGTATGTTTTAATGTGTGGTTTTAAAATGTAAAAATTATAAAAGCAACACCAATCAACCAAACTTGTTAGAGATTTAAAGGCAACACTCAATCCACACCTCTAGTAGATATGTTTTTGCATAGAGCAGATTAATATTTGATTTGAATTATGCAAGTATTTGTAGAGTGTTTTTTTTTAGAAGCCTCAGGACATAAATCATGGTGTTTGCTGTAAGCTATGATTGGTTGAGAATAAAATAAAGTTTTGCATTTTGGGTTTCAGAATTCGTTTTTTTATCATTTACTTTTTTATCAGTAAGCAAAAAAAAACCCAATAACACTCACCTTTTGCAAAATAATTTATGTGGCGGCTGCTGATATATAGGGTGGAGGCCGCCAAATAATAAGTAGCGGCCGCCAATAAAAATGTCGGCCGCCAAATAATATTTCCCGCCAGTATATATGTGGCGGCCGCCAAATAATAAGTCGGCTGCCACATAAAATATTTTTCGTACGTGGCACCAACGGGGTAAGTTTTACCATTGGCATTATCATTTTAGATTTCACTGCACGTGTAGTAGGCTACTAGTGTGCATCATTGCATATATGTCACGCAGCACAGTTAAGGTTACAGTAAGGAGGCGGGGCCTAATTTTTACGGGAAATGTTTACTATGACGTCATGCATAATATAAGGTCTTCAAATATAAATTATTTGCTATTTCAAACAGCTGTAGTTATTATGTTACTATTAAAGTTTAATGTTTGTTAAATCCCACACAACAGTATATAAACAATGCATTGATCGCAATGCACTTTTCTGTGACGTCATCCCCACTCTCCAAAATCAGAGGCTGATCAATGTTCACAATATGAAAAATGTATTTTCTTTAAATGAAATATTATTTGCAGTAAAATAAAAAGCTATTAACTTGGATAAGATTACATTTTATTCATAAACTGTGTGCATTCATCACGATACCGTTGTGTGTTTGTATGCAGATTCATTGAAAAAATTAATGGAAGGGCCCTAACAAATCGATTTATTGCAAGGGCATACCCTCAATGTATCCTGTCAAAATTTTACACATAAACTCAAGAAGCATTAAGATATTTGAAAAGTGCTGCGAACCTTTGAAATCTTGCAAATAAATTAATTATAGCTACAGTGATGTGCCATAAGTGTTTGTCCAAATTCAATTTTCATTACGTCACCTTACATTTTCACACAACTTCGTCTACGCTGTATCTTTTAACCATGGCGTCAATGTTGACTAAATAAGTATATATTTATAGCATATCCACGTGACCTTCACGTGTCACATATTTATTTTCGTCTGCTGTGTATTTCCTATGTAAACAAAATGGCTACCGTACGTAGAGAATTGAGCACTGATGTGAAAGAAGTCATTGTTTCTCTTTACCTGTCTGGATTAAAACATTCAGAAATAGCCAGGAGATTACAAATTCCCCGGTCTACAATAACATCTGTAGTTGACCGCTATCGCAAGCGGGGAAGTGTAGAAAACATTCCGAGGAAAGGGAAGCAGGCAAAGCTGAGCGACAGAGACAGTCGCAGCATTTTAAGGTTGGTGAAAAAAACAGAAAGAGAAAATTATCAGATATAACAGCCTTATTCAATGAAAATAGAGACTCTGCTATATCTAAACGGACAGTTCAACGAAATTTATACAAACAGGGGTATTTTAGAAGAGTTGTTCGAAAGCGCATCAGAATTCGCGAAGTAAACAGAAAAGCACGGCTATCCTGGTGTAGAGGAAACAGATACAAAACTATCGATAATTATTGGAACAGAGTGATCTTTAGTGAATGCAAAGTGGACGTTGGGACTGATAACCGTGTTTTTATATGGAGAAAGGTGGGCGAAGAGTGGATGCCATGTTGTCTCTCGCATTTAAGTTTAATGATATGGGGCTGCATCACTTTCAACGGTGTAACTGTGACTGTTGTAGATGGGAACATTAATGCTCGAAAATACATTGATATAATTGAAGATCAACTTTGGCCAGTTAAAGCACGCCATTTTCCTCGAAATAACTATATATTTCAAGACGACAACGCCCCTATTCACAGAGCCCGAGTAGTTCAAGAATATAAAGTACAGAATAATATGCATTCAATGGTTTGGCCCGCTCAGAGTCCTGATTTGAACATTATTGAAAATATCTGGTTAACCGAAGTGAGACCTTGACCTTAAAGTTTTACCTACTTTCCAAAAAATAACATTTTAAATTGATCATTTTGAAAGAGAATACAGAAAGGGCATTCAAATTATACATGTTTATTACATGTAAGAAAAGATATTTTATAATTTTATTTCATGTTTTATTTTTGACTCTGTGACCTTGACCATTTTGAATTTAACACTTATGGCACATCACTCAAAAATATTATATTGTAACATATAAATTTTGAATTAAAAAAGTGAGATATAGGTTCGCAGCACTTTTCACAAACTACATATAGTGTTGAAAAGGATACATAAAATAAAAAAATAAAAATAAAATAAAAGTTTCAACTTGGTTAGCATTGCTATGATTTTTTGACCCTTTGACCCAAGTATTTCAAAAATTGATATATGATAGGGGTGCAAATAAAAAATCTAAATGTCCCACAATCTGCCATAAATTTTGGCATCAGCGAATTCACTAAAACACATTAAAGTATGTATTTTCACTAAAAAATTCTTTGAATTTCCATTTGTAACCTTAACTGTGATAGATGGAAACATTTCATTTAATGTTTTAACTGGATTATATTTCATGAAGATGACAGTGCCTACACCATGACAAGGAATACAAGTTTTACATGTATAGTTTTTGGTTCAAGTTTAAAGGATCCGTCATCCACCCTACAATAGACGAATTTCACATTCTGAAGAGTTATCCCCCGTTATCGGTTACAGTTACAAGATCAAATTTTTTTTCTGAAACTTTCTAGATATTTTTATCAAAAAAGTTCATATTGTTGATGCATACTGATGTAAATATCCAACTGCAGCAATATTTTTGACTTTGACTTTTCCTTTGACCTTCACTTAACTTTTCTTTAAATTAGTGTTTAGCTTTTATTTTAAAGAAACCGTTGAGAGAGTGTGTAATGAAACTTCACATGATGATACATACTGATGTAAGGTTTACAATGCTTAGCTCTTTTTACTTGACCATTCCTGTGACCTTGACCTCACTTTTCTAAAATTAATGTCTAGATCAGTTTTGATATAAACATTTTTTTAAATGTAAAAACAAGTAGTAGTTTGCATATGCTGATACATACAGGGGTCTGATAGCTAGTTAATATTTCTTTACGTCTTAATAGTTGAAAACTCCTAAAATGAATTTTCCTCAAATTGACCTTGACCTCATTATTTTTCAATTATGGTGTTTATCTAAGTTTTAAATAAACCATTAATTATAGTTTTATCAAACTTCTTCCCATTATGCTTTTGGGAAAGGGAGGGGACATTAAATCTCATTTTTCTGTCAGTGTAATCTTATTTACAGCTAGTATGTGCATCTGTCACAATAAATTTTTGGTCATAACTTTTCCTAATAAACCTCTCTTTTTATTTTGTACATTAAAGGTGTCTAAATATACTATGATTTTTTAAACATTGAGACCTTGACCTTAAAGTTTTATACTTTCCAAAAATAACATTTTAAATTGATCACTGTATTAGAAAAGAAGCTACTCAACTGTTTATTACATGTGAAAACTTCAAATATATCATGACTTTTGACTCTGTGACCTTGACCTAGAAGTTTAACCTACTTTTCAAAAATATTATATTGTATATATAACTTTTGATTCAAAAGAGATAGGACTTTCATATTTGACATGTACATTACCTGCAACAAAATGTTTCAGAGCATGCTATGATTTTTTCCCCTTTGCCCAATCAAAAATTGATATATGAACCTTACTTGACACACAATCTACCATAAATTATGGCATCCAATTCACTAAAACACAGAAAGCAGAGGACCACTATTCTTTGAATTTGCTTGTATAATCTTGATAGATGGAAACATCCTCATATAATGTAGATTCAAGTTTTTTTGCCACACCATGATAAGGAATACATACATGTATAGTTTTTGTCATGTCCGTCATCCACCCTTCCACCTGTCCCATGGGGCAAAATAAAATTTCTAGATATTTTTATCAAAGTTCATATGTTGATGCATACTGATGTAAATATCCAACTGCAGCAATATTTTTTGACTTTGACTTTTCCTTTGACCTTCAATTAACTTTTCTTTAAATTAGTGTTTAGCTTTATTTTAAAGAAACCATTCAAGTTGTGTAATGAAACTTCACATGATGATACATACTGATGTAAGGTTTACAATGCTTCACTCTTTTTTACTTTGACCATTCCTGTGACCTTGACCTCACTTTTCTAAAATTAATGTCTAGATCAGTTTTGAATAAACAATTCAAGATATATTTATCAAACTTCATATGCTGATACATACTGCTGATAGCTATTAATACATCAACTTATTTTGACCTTGAATTTTCCTTTGACCTTGACCTCACTTTTTAAATTATGTGTTTATCTAAGTTTTAAATAAACCATTAATTATAGTTTTATCAAACTTCATATGCTAATAGTAAATTCATACTGATGTAAGCTTTTCAACTGCAACAACATTTTGGCCCAACCTTTCCTTCAACCTCTCTTTTTTTGTAGAAAAGGTGTTAAGCTCATTTCATTAAACATTCAAGATATTTTTATCAAACATAACATGCTGATATGTATTAGTGAAGCTACTCAACTGCATCAAAAACTTCATCTTGCACATTCCTGTGACCTTGACCACCATCCTTTTTAATTTGTATTTCGCTTAGTTTTAAAGAAATGATTTAAGACATTTTTAAAACATCATTTTTTCGACCCCCATTTGACCCCCCGGGGCAAAATCTACATTCCGAAACCTTACTGCACATCTACATGACACCACCAACCATCTCCCAAAAGATGATTAGCCTACTGTGTAAAATGTAAGAGGAGTTAGGGAAGACGGGGCTTTTTGCATAGAAAACGTTGATTTTTCGACCCCATTTGACCCCCTGAGGCAAAATCAAAATTCCGAAACCTTACTGCACATCTACATGACACCGCCAACCATCTCCCAAAAGATGATTAGCCTACTGTGTAAAATGTAAGAGGAGTTCAGGAAAGATGGGGCTTTTTGCATAAAAGATGTCATTTTTCGACCCCCATTTGACCCCCCGGGGCAAAATCAAAATTCCAGAACCTTACTGCACATCTACATGACACCACCAACCATCTCCCAAAAGATGATTAGCCTACTGTGTAAAATGTAAGAGGAGTTAGGGAAGACCGGGCTTTTTGCATTAAAAAACGTCATTTTTCGACCCCCATTTGACCCCCCGGGGCAAAATCAAAATTCCGAGAACCTTTACTGCACATCTACATGACACCACCAACCATCTCCCAAAAGATGATTAGCCTACTGTGTAAAATGTAAGAGGAGTTCAGGGAAGACGGGGCTTTTTGCATAAAAACGTCATTTTTCGACCCCCATTTCACCCCCTGGGGCAAAATCAAAATTCCGAAACCTTACTGCACATCTACATGACACCACCAACCATCTCCCAAAAGATGATTAGCCTACTGTGTAAAATGTAAGAGGAGTTAGGGAAGACGGGGCTTTTTGCATAGAAAACGTCATTTTTCGACCCCCATTTGACCCCCCGGGGCAAAATCAAAATTCTGAAACCTTACTGCACATCTACATGACACCACCAACCATCTCCCTAAAGATGATTAGCCTACTGTGTAAATATCTAAGAGGAGTTCAGGAAAGAAGGGGCTTTTTGCATAAAAGACGTCATTTTTAAAAACCCCCGGGGCAAAATTAAAATTCCAAAACCTTACTGCACCCCTCACCAACCATCTCCCAAAAGATGATTAGCCTACTGCAAAATCAAAATTCATAAAAGATGTAGATTTTCGAAACCTTACTGCACATCTACATGACACCACCAACCATCTCCCCAAAAGATGATTAGCCTACTGTGTAAAATGTACAGAGGAGTTAGGGAAGACGGGGCTTTTTGCATAAAAAACGTCATTTTTCGACCCCCATTTGACCCCTCGGGGCAAAATCAAAATTCCGAAACCTTACTGCACATCTACATGACACTACCAACCATCTCCCAAAAGATGATTAGCCTACTGTGTAAAATGTAAGAGGAGTTAGGGAAGAAAAGTGTGACAAAAAACGTCACGGACGGACATGAGGGGCAACAACAATATACCCGAAACCTTATTTCTACATGACACCACCAACCATCTCCCTAAAGATGATTAGCCTACTGTGTAAAATGTAAGAGGAGTTCAGGGAAGAAGGGGCTTTTTGCATAGAAAACGTCATTTTTCGACCCCCATTTGACCCCTCGGGGCAAAATATTTCCGAAACCTTAAGGATACATTATAACACAAACAAACTTCTTTAGAAAAGATGATTAGCCTACTGTGTAAAATTAAATTGACAACCTGCATAAAAATCGTTTACCAAGTAGAGGGGCAAAATTTTATAAGACCTTTTGTCATAAAGTTAAACCAAATTGTGCAAAAGATTTAGTATGGTAAAATATATAGAGGGTTCAAAATAAAATCTGACAGACGGACGGACCAATGAAAACCAATATACCCGAACTTTCTTTATATTTTGAGGGATTTATTATTTATATCAATGAAAATTGTAAATCATCATGGAAGAATATATATCAACCCGCGCATCCTATTTTTGTTTGTGGTATAAAATATTGTTTACCCTTAAGGAATTATAACACAAACAAACTTTTTTCAGAAATCAGCATTATTTCTCATAGATTTACATTTAAATTGACAACATTATTTGAACAAACATGTTGTCATAAAGTTAAAAAATTGTGCAAAATTTTGTATGGAATTATATAGAAGGCAAAATAAAATCGCTTGAGCACCAATGAAAACCTAAATATTTCAGGTTTATTATTTATATCAATACAAATCAAAATCAGCATAAGAAAACGTGACGTTTAAGAAATGGAACAAACATGTTGTGAGAAAGAATCACGCTTGAGGACAAATTTAGGTCAATCAACACATAAGAATGGCATTTGAACGGCGGTAGGAAAACCACGGTAAACATTACATAGTGCTAAAAGGTAAAGTTTTCAGCGGTTGGCCGGAACCACGGTAAACATTACATAGTGCAAAAAGGTAAAGTTTTAGTCTCCCTTCTATGATAAGATGACTTTCATGGGTATAAACCCATTCGTATGTCGATACAATATATCACAGTGAGCTTAAAATAAAAAAAAAATACAACAGAGTTTGTTTTCACTGATATTTTAATTAAAAACACGTTAATGGTAAATTAGCAACCCTGCTTATGATGAACGTGATGACTCTTTAAATTTTGATTGTTAACTCTCCTCTTATGGAGTAATATACTTATGGAGACTGCCTGCTAACGAGGAATCTAATTAGTACCAATAGGAATTCCGACATCTTGTTTGGGTTTCCTAAACTCAAAAAGACATGTTAACTGAAACCAAGAATACACGCTGAATATATACGAGTATTGTAGAAAATCTATATGTACGTACTTATAAACTGTTTAAAAATTATTATTTTAAAAAACAAATTTCATTTGTCAAAGCCACGCGCTCGTGATTAAGGTACTCTAACATCTTGAAAAGAAAAAAAATGTCTTGAGATATCCTTTCAGAATGAACAGTTCAGCCCATTTATAGGATTAGACGTGAGCCGTAGGCTTAGCGTGTGGTCATTTAACACGTCCTGCTAGTTGTCTTTAGTTGGCACTTGTCACTTTAACACAGTGGAGTACAGAAAGGTGAGATTTAAAATTTTGTTTAGTTTATCCTATATAATTAATGCATGTAAATTAAATTTCTCTTAAAAGAAAGACGGAAAATTCATATATCAGTATCAGTTCATTCAATTAGAGGTTGTTTAAACTTGTCCCATCTCAGATATCTTTTAAGAGGTCTGTATTTGCTCAGCTCCCGCATTTCACTGGTTTGATAAACTTTTGAGTAATTGATTGCTGTTTGCTTTCAAAGGTTATTCTTTCTGTGGATATACATGTATGTTTATCGCAATTCTGTGAATTTTACATACATTTTTTTTAAAATGAAGTTTGAAAATAAAAAAACAAAAAAAACCAAACGAACAACATTTTATTCGTGGGATTATTTATATAGCTTTTAGTATTTGTATTATTGAAATTATTTCCACGATTATCTATAAAACAGTTTTTAGAGTGTCATAAGTGTGGGTGAATCATGCGCTGTTGCGTTTAAACTCTCCTTGCCGTGCCGAGGACAAAAACTGTCACTTTGTTACAACACTTCATCATGCAGGTAGTGGAAGCCATCATAAAACAATAATTAATGTTCAGAAGGCAATTTTAGGAGAAAATGATTGTGTTTCTTGTTCATTTATAAGAATTCGTCACATTTTAATAGATGCTTTTAATTATTTTTTTTACTATCAAGTCTGTGGTTAACTTTAACATGGAACACATGGAATACCATAAAATAATACCAAGAAATGAGGAAAGAGGCATTACAGAAGAAGACGAAACTGTTTTCAACATTAGAAGGAGGAATAGTTCAACAAAAATGGTAAGTGTATAAAGTCCTAGCAACTTTATATTGTCTTACTGAATAAAGCATCATGAATATTATTTTGCTGACTATAATACTTTATGCATATTGATATATATGAAAAGAGCTTTTGCAATATTTACTTTAATGCCTTTTATATCATAAAAATGATCAACGTATTTCTCTGTGCTCTCTATGGGAATAAATTATTTGTTTTTTTAGATAAAACATGAAAAACATGCTTTTCAAAGTTTCTTTATTTGGCCCTTTTTTGCGGGATCATATTAAGTATCAGTAAGATTATATATCATCTTTAAAAAATTACCTTTCTCACAAAACTTTAGCATTATGATATTTTTGAATCGAGATTTATTGTTTTAACATCAGAAAAATGGTAATAAAACACGTTTTTGTTTTTTATTTACTTTTTTTATTTTATACAAAATGTCAGATAAATGCGAGACATAGGTAAAATGACAAAATACTAGTACGCTAAAATGAATTACCTGGAGATAACGGACAGTATTCAAGCTCAAAATTCCCTAAAACAATAAAGAAAAAATAGAGGTGGGATCAGCTGCCATGCTAGAACACATTTTAACACATTTTCTCCCTTTTGTATAACTTTTTCCTTCATTCTGTCTTTGGTTAAGAGTTCTCATAGATTTTGACATCTTTAAGTAAAATGTCAACAAGAATATTGAGATTTTGAAAATTGAATTTAAATTTTAAATTTTCATGCAATATAAATAAGTTAAAAACTTCAATTTTTTACTGCTTCTGTACAATTAACAAAAAATGGTGCTGTTTTTCGATTGTCTTCTTAAGTCGTGTAGTTGATTAGCAGTTGTTCTTTAGTCTTATACAATGTTAATTGAAATCAAATCAAATAAAAAGATTGTGTTATTTTGGTTATTCCTCATATATTTGTTTTTATACATATTTAGGACATGCAAAGGAAAAGAATTAAAGCTTTAAAGAAGCGAGTTAGAGTAACAGCGCACAGAAGCCTTAATAAAGGGATTATAAAAAGTAGAAAACATCAAACAAAGAGACTGAAAGGTAAACATTGACAGATATTACCCTACGGTACATCAGGTAAATTCTAAATTGACTAGAAAAGCAAATTCTATGATATATTATAAATTTGAAATACATATGCACTTTTTTCTTCAGGAGAAATTTTATCCAGACAAAGTTATCCTTGTGTTGTCAGGAAAAAATCCAAATGTTTGCCAGATAAGTAAGTAAATTGTCCCAATGTTAAAGTTCAGTATATATCCCCTTGAGTACATACAGGTTATGACATCGTTTTGTTTATATTTAATTGAAGATCTATCAACATAACAAGGAGAACTGTTGGTTTGTACATCATGGTTTGTCTTTTTTCTCGTTTGTTCATGAAAGTGCAGAACAATAGCCAATACGCAAATTTCGAGATTATCTCCCTTGTTGCGCTCTTTCGTTGAGGAGGGCAGTTTCGTTGCCGCGTAAACAGCTGACAGGTGGGACAGATATTTATTGCATCATCGGTATACTGGTTCATCGTTACTTTATGATTGTCATGATGCACTCTAAAGTTCGTGAATAACCAAATTAATGTACAAGTTGCTGTCCTTTAAAAAAGGACTGCAATACGTGGACCATATGCATGTTTTTTTCTAACTGAAATTCAATTAAGAAAATTTCTAGGTGTAGGGAATATTCATGTAGGTTTATTCACTTTTACTACAATGATCTGCCTACTTATAACTGACTGTAGTCTCAAAGCAATTTTGTGAAATTTTATCTTTTATAAGCGACCTTTAGTTTTGTCAGTTTAAAAAATCGGGTTATTTTGCTACATGTAACTCATACTGACTTGGACTGTTCTGGATATATACGGAAGAAATTTATCATGAAAAATAGAGATCTGATGGTTAACGAGAAGCACAGCTCTGTAGTACGCAGATTTTTTTGTCGGACCCCCCCCCCCCCCCCCCACATTAAAAGCCGTTGCTACAGACCTTTATCAAACGATATTTTGTTTGCTGAAACACTAAATTATTTTCCGAGTCTTGATGCACAAAAATTAGTGCCGGCAAAAACTTGCTATATCTTTTGAGAGCTATCTCTATTCGTTGAATGACGTTTTTATTCAGATTATTAAGTTACATGTATATATATACTGTATAACTTCTTAAGGTATCCATTGTACAAATGGGTAAAAATTTATGCCTGGAAAACCTATGATTTTATGTTCTAAAATCAAAGTATGGGTCATGAAAAACTAAAAAATTGGGTCATCAGGGGCAACAACTCATTTAAGGAAGATAATTCTTGATGAAAACTAAAATCTATTAAAGGAAATCACAGAAATTGTAATCTATGAAATTTATACCATAACTAGGGCTAATTGTAAAGGGAACCGTTACAGATGTTCCCCAAACGCTCCCCAACTCCCTTTTGGTGCCTTATTCCCTGTAAGCTTCATTAAATAAGACGAACTCTATGCCTTTTAGACTATAACAATGTTTTCCCAGAAGTATATTAAGTATATTCAAATTTATGCATTGCATGCGTGCACATTTGAATGCATGTGCGTAATGACCATATCAACTTGTCTACACTATTTAAGTATTTTAATATACTAGAAATTACAGCAGTTAATAGCAAAAAAGATATTGAGATTTTTGTTTCAGCCAATCAGATTGAAGCGCACGTGCATGCATGTGCATGATGACCATACTTTTTTGTAGAAGTCTATAATGTCTATCTATGCTCTGAATCCCATCATGTTTGGTTGAAAACCAAGGAAGTTATAGCAATTTAAAGTTTTAACCAATCAGATTAAAGCGCACGTGCATGCGCGTGTTTTCGTGAAAAATGTTACATATCATACTGTAGTATATCCTCATGCATGACTGTTTTTAAAATTTCAAAGCTTTTCGGCAAAAAGCAAAAAAGATAATGAGATTTTTGTTTCAGCCAATCAGAGCGCAGCGCACGTGCATGTGCGTGAGTTCGTGCTAATTTGATCATCTCACATTATCTACACTATTAATGTATCCTTATATAATGAGTTTCAAAGTATTTCATCAAAAAATGTAAAAGTTATGGCTATTTAAAGTATATCAGTCATTCCACTCATTTCACGCACCCGCACGTGCATGTGTATGCGCGCAAAATGACCTTCGTTCCGCACACCTACACTACACACCTATTAACCCTGAAAAGGTTTTAGCTCAGTTGGATGAACAGTTTCTAAGAACACTAGCGGACAAAAAAGGGACCGGAGAACAAAGAAGAAAAAAAGAATAATAATAATAACTAGAGCAAAGCTCGTTGCAAAGCAACGAGTAGGTCTTCCGTCCTCTTTGACCGGAAGTAGCTTTCATTTATAACAAAAATGAGAAATAACGCCCGAAAATGCTTTGAATCCTCTAAAGCTAAGTTAATTAATGCAAAAATAAGCCATTTTTTGCTACTTCCGGTTTGACCGGAAGTGACGACGACGGACGGAAAATTAATTTTTAAGCTCGAAAAGACATATATTACCCAAAAACTTGTCAAGAACGGCAAAAATACGCGTTTTTCGACTACTTCCGGTTTGGTCGGAAGTGACGACGCCGAACGTATTTTGACGACTCTAATAGATTAAGCTTGACATTTTGAACAACTTTGCTTTTTTGATGTATTACAAATTCTGAATACTTTTTGAGATATAAAGGAAAGACTTTCGGCCCCCTTGGCCCTTAATTTTAGGGGCCAGCCCTTTTCTCGAGATATCATTTGAAAGATCTTCAAATTCTACACTTCTTTTGTTCTACATGCTTTAACAAAATATTTCTAGGTAAAAAGTTATTGTAGAAAAGGTGTTAAAAATTTTGAAATTCTTGATAGGACTATTTTCGGGCCATAGCAAGCGTCGGCGCTTCGTACTTCCGGTGGATGTGATATACGAAATTCACTTCTCCAAAGGTTGCTCTAGCATCACTGAAAATTTCATGCTTCTGTGTTAAGTGCTTTTTGAGAAAACTGCCGGACAAAGTGACCCTCTGAAAATCACTAAAACGCGGAAATCTCAAAACCGGAAGTGACGTCATCAAAACAAAAAATTGTATATCTAGTTTTTTCCATGCTCTATCAGTTCTGAAAGTTTCATGAAAATCGAGTGCGCCGTTTTCGAGAACTCGCGTGCACAAAATCGGTAAGAAAAAAAAAAAATCTTCGAGAAATCTTCTGCAAAAAAAATGTAAAGAAAAAAAAAGAATAATAACTAGAGCAAAGCTCGTTGCAAAGCAACGAGTAGGTCTTCCGTCCGGTTTTTACCGGAAGTGCCGGAACAAAAGAAAGCAATGAGCTAAGTAGTCTCCAGTGACTTTATAATTTCAATTTTGCATCAAAACCTTCAAAATAAGCCATTTTTTGCTACTTCCGGTTTGACCGGAAGTGACGACGACGGACGGAAAAATTACTTTGTGTGCTCCCAGAGACATATGTAACCCAAAAACTTGTTAAGAACGGCAAAAATACGCGTTTTCCGACTACTTCCGGTTTGGCCGGAAGTGACGACGCCGGACGTATTTTGACGACTCCAATAGATAAAGCTTGACATTTTGAACAACTTTGCCTTTTTGACGTATTACAAATTCTAAATACTTATTGAGATATGAAGGAAAAACATTCGGCCCCTCTCGGCCCCTGACTTAAGGGGCCAGCCCTTTTTTCGAGGTATCATTTGAAAGATCTTGGAATTCTATACTTTTTTTGTTCTACATGTTTTAACAAAATATTTCTAGGTAAAAAGTTATTGTAGAAAAGGTGTTAAAAATTTTGAAATTCTTGATAGGACTATTTTCAGGCCATAGCGAGCGTCGGCACTTCGTACTTCCGGTGGTTGTGATATACGAAATTCACTTCTCCAAAGGTTGCTCTAGCATCACTGAAAATTTCTTGCTTCTGTGTTGAGTGGTTTTTCAGAAAACTGCCGGACAAAGTGACCCTCTGAAAATCACTAAAACGCGGAAATCCCAAAACCGGAAGTGACGTCATCAAAACAAAAAATACATATACTAGTTTTTTCCATGCTCTATCAGTCCTGAAAGTTTCATGAAAATCGAGCGAGCCGTTTTTTGACTCGTGTGCACAAAATCGGTAAGAAAAAAACAAAAAAATACGTGTTTTTCGACTACTTCCGGTTTGGCCGGAATAATAATCGCCGGACGTATTTTGAAATTAAGCTTGACATTTTGAACAAAACAAATTCGATATGAAAATCTTTAAATTCTACACTTCTTTTGTTCTACATGTCTTAAATACATAGTCTAGTTTTTTCCATGCAAAATCGGAAGAAATCAGTCCTGAAAGTTTCATGAAAATCGGAGACCCTTTAAAATTCACAAAATCGGTCATAAAAAACCGGAAGTGACGTCATCAATAAAGAAACGCATAAGGTTCAAGTGCCGAAAATTCATTCAGCAGAAATCGTGTGCACAAAATCGGTAAGTGAAAAAGAAACCTAAGAATCAGAAAGGTCTTCCGCTGAAAAAGACCTTAAAAACGATAATTAATAATAACTAGAGCAAAGCTCGTTGCAAAGCAACGAGTAGGTCTTCCGTCCTGTTTAACCGGAAGTGCATGTATGTTTCATTTTGTTAAAAAAATGATAAATGAAGTGCAATAAGGTTTAAATCCTCCAAATTTATGTTAATTAATGCAAAAATAAGCCATTTTTTGCTACTTCCGGTTTGACCGGAAGTGACAACGACGGACAGAAAATTGAATTTTATGCTCCCAGTGACAGATGTTACCCAAAAACATGTCAAGAACGGCAAAAATATGCATTTTTTTTTACCACTTCGGTTTGGCCGGAAGTGACGTCACCGGACGTATTTTGACGACGCCAATAGATTGAACTTGACATTTTGAACAACTTTGCTTCTTTGAGGTATAACAAATTCTCAATACTTTTTTGAGATATTAAGAAAAAACTTTCAGCCCCTCGCGGCCCTTAATTATAAGGGCCAGCCCTTTTTTCTAGATATCTTTTGAAAGATCATGTAATTCTACACTTCTTTTGTTCTAT